GTTGTAGTTTTACATCGTCATACCCTTAAATTTAATTGTAGCATTTCATTTGGTTTCCGCTCCTAAATTGTTACAATGATACTGGCGAATGGAATACTTAAGAATTGTAGATTACCGACTTTTATTTCACGATTTTATATCGAATAACTACCAAATTCAAGAAACGATGCCGAAAAAATATATAGATTCTCTCTCGTGACCACGATATTAAAATCGAAAATTCAACGAAACGAATTGCTAATTAAAATACGAGATTAACCAAACAATTGGTCCTTAACATTCCCTAACATTCTAAAAATTTAAATTCCCTTCCTTTAATTTACTTTCAGTGAATAATATTGTTGCGAATTTCACGGGCTTTCACATTGAAATCTCGTCGGGCACACATTACGATAAAAATTCAATTTCACTGTTTCTCACATGCGACCAGAAAGGGTTGCAACAAATTAGATTTGAACGACGGTGACTTGCTCGAACGGAGAAGAAGGAAGCAACATCCGATCACAGAAATAAATGAATGAATATCTTATGAAAACCAAAAGCTGGGAATCTGAATTTCCCTAATTAAGGAGCTACCCGGCAATCTCAATTAACCGAGATCCCTTTTTAATATTGCATGAGCGTCTCGCGGTGAAAACGCGAGATTTGCATGCACACACATGCTCGAAATTTCATTCACGTTTCTCACGGGTGCCTTCTCTCTTACTTTTTTTACGCGAGCATATTTACGCGAGTTCAAGGCACTTGGAAATCGCGTCGCGCGCGCGTCTGACCGCTGCTAAGGAGTTTCCACTGAAATTCTCGTCCCGATGTGTGGCGTCGATGGTGGTCGAGAATGTCGGGAAACACGGGACGACTATCGTTTCTTCGTTTCTCGATTGAAATCCGCTGGCGAATTTTTTTGCCACACTCACCAGCGGCGTTCGTTGTTTGTAAAGAGGTTTCTGTTACTTACGGAGAATAATTCCGATTGAATTAGCTCGAACACTCCTGCGAGAGATCCTGGATAGTTCTTTCAAGAATTGTACTATCGTACGCAACACAGATTGTGTTAATACGGGAAAATATGATATTTTTTCTCACATTGTCAGGTTGACGTAGAGGAATTTCCACGTCATTTGTTGTAATTTTCATTATTAAATTTGTAAGAATTTTAGAATTTTGGAAAAGATTTCGAACAGAGTTGTTACGTGTATATTCTTATAATTTCAAAGTAATTTGTGAATTGAAAAAACACCTTTGGTCTTTAATCTTTCGCGGAATGTTAAACTTACGTTTGCAGAAGCTTTGACGCACATTTTGCAAATTTTCATTCTAGGTTATGGTAAGCAAAGTTTCATATTCTCATTACGAGTTTCCTCAACATTGAATATATGTGATCTTGTTGAAATTTCTATCTCTTTGATATTTTAAAATTTCTTTAATATTTAGTGATAGAACAAAACTCATTGGCGTGTTAATAGCAAACTTTTTAAGGGAATGAAATTTCATTTCTAATCTAATATAGAGAAAGTTACAACGTGTAAGAAACATTTTATTTTCACTTTCAAAATGTAACTAACTTTTAACACCGAGTCAGTTCTTTTCGCATTCAACAGTACAATCCCGTGCGAAATTCCCATCCTTATCGATGACTCCAGAGCACCCGTACTCTGAAAACAGAAATTATCAACGGTTAGACGATAGTTCTTCGAATTAGAATTAGATTCGATAAAGTTGTTCGCCGTCGAGGTGATAATTGAAATTCGGTGAAATACTTAGGCACTTAAGTATCATTAAATTACTTCTATCATTTTGTTATCGGCGATAAACTTCGAACGCGTGTTTGCGCAATACTGCAGACTGATAAGACTCTAGGAGAGAATGTTGCACTTATTGACAATTCTCTGAGATTATTAAAGATTCTGATGTAATTCTTCGGTATATAATTATTGGTAATTATTAGATCAATCGACGATCATTGAAGAATTATTAAAGTTATTAATCAACTTGATATTCACTAAGTTTTAATTATTAAATTAACAATTATTCATGTTTCAATTCTGTATTGAAACTTCGTCAATATTCACCCAATTCCTTGATATATTAATTATCAAATTAACGATTCACTGAGATTATTAAGATTAAGTATGTCTGGAGGATATTAAAGAATTTGCACAATATTTCATTGGAATTCAACATTCCGGCATTATTCGCGGAATAAATAATCAAAAGCATCGGATGACGAAGGAAGAACACCGGCGTAGAATCTTGACGAACCGCTATTTCATTCTGCCAGTTACGTGAACTCTACGCTTCGTTTTATATTCTAATTAATTAACCCGCTCGTTTCGTCTAGATCGTTTCACGAATATCGAGATTATTATTTATGAGTTTACAGACCAGCGAGCGCGGAGCACTTTTTGGTTAGAATTCGCAAGCACAGCAAATCTGCGCTCTTAAATGCACATACACCTCTGCTAAAAAAATGCTGCGACAATTTTCGATCATCGATAATTATCACAGACAATAAAAATTTTTAATTGCCGGTATGTAACATGTCAACACTTCACAAATGTTCGTTCAAACAAGAATTGAAATTTAAACTTCTCTAGATACATTGAAAAATTTCTTTATCTACGATGGTTTTAAAGATTTCATCTTTACAATAATATTAATCTTCTGCCGTTTAATATTCAAAGTTCAATAAAATGATGAAAAAAAAATTCGTAGAAATTTCAGGGGTAAAGTTGTAAAGAGAAAATTTCAAGTTTCAATGTATTCAAGTCTCGAAAGAAATTTCTCAATATTTCTAGAGACCTTTGAATTCTCACAATTGTACTTCCCCACCAATTATCTGACATAAAAACATTTTTTGAAGAACAAAGAACTGTCAAAGTAGAGGCTTTATATATACCTTAAAATGAGACCAAGTAGATTATGTGATCTTTAATCGAGTTCAAAGTGTCAATCATTTTTTTTACACCTTTTTTACACAGTTTTTAGTACAGGTTTTTAAATAATACACGATCGTGTAACACAACGGCGGTTATGATTATTTTGCAGCGCTCTGATTAGTACACTGAAACCGCAGCCACCTCGTCGGCACGCTAATTAGTTTGTATCAGCCTAAGCTTCCTCGGTTTTCAGCGTAGTTACGTCTCATTGTAACTTTTATTCGCCTTTTACGAACCAATAAAGCATCCGAGCGTCGCCGCCCCCGCTAAAAAATTCTCATAATTAAAGGATACAAATACTTTACACGCGATTCTTCCATGTTAATGTAGCTGTTATACCTAATTAAGCCAGACAGCGTGACTACGTCAAAAAATAGTCATCGATCGGCTGTGAATCGAATATGAAATGATCGACTTTATTCAGACGAATTTTGCAAGAAAGGTTTTGCGAAAGGTGAATTTTAAAGTTCTCTAGAGAATTTTAGGTTCAGATTTGGGTTTAGATGTGAAAGATCGAGAATTTTTGAAACAATAATGGAATGATACTTTGAAAGTAATAGTTTGGAGTAATATTTAATAATTAATTTGAAATATCATAGACAACTGAGATAGAATTTTTGGGAATTTCTTGATAGAGATATAAATTCGTGACATACATATGCAATACATATTTATACATATTTTGGTAGATATATTTTTCTGGAGTTTATTCAGTGATTTT